TACCTCCTTCCTCATTTATATCCTGTGGGAGAAAAAAAGAAAAGAGAAAAAGACAGTCACAGTTGGATGACATATGGACTGTATGGGATCTGTGGACAATCCTCCTATCAACGTGAAAGCAACAGAAGTGATCTTAGGGTGTCAACAGGGAGCTTAGAAAAGAAAGATCTGGGTCTGGGGTCCAGGAGGACCCAACTCTGAGTGAGGCATAAAGAACTTCCCATTATTCCTGCTTCCTTTTCCATCCATGGATATACCAGCCTTGTACCCGACTTTGGAAGGGCAGGCAGGAGATGCATGGAGAGGAGGATATCCGGACCTGTGGGTAAACTGACTTCCCGGAACACAGAGCAGGCCTGAGTAATGGATCATTTGAGAGACAGCTTTTGTTTGATAAAAAATATATCAGAGATGCCTTTCAAATTATGTCCAAAGCCCTTATTTTCCCATCTAATCACTTTAGGGTCATGGACAAAAAAAATTTAAAGCTATCTAGTTATTTCATTTATATGGCTTTTGGCAAGACATCAAAGGGTTTTTTGTTGTTATTTCAGTTTGTTTGGGGCTTTGTAATGAATTATATTTGGTCTGGAAAGCTGCAGACACTTTCAGAAATACTCTCTCCTTTATGAAGACCTGCTAGTTCAGCTGTTGAGTTTATGATGCCAATGAGTTCAAGCTCAGTGTTTCAGTTTCTGCACAGGCTGTTTTGCTTTAAATCAAGTACATGTCACACCCTGTTGAGCCCTTTTTTGAGTGATGGATAGCTCAGCCTAAACCCATCATCATTATGGAAGAGACAGGACAACATGCATATTTCATAACTCATTACTCAGACAGGAAGGGATAATATTTTCTTTTTACACTGACATTATCTGTTGTCTAAGTACCCTGTGCCTGTTTCTTGGAGTGAAAGCCAAATGCCTGGAAGATGCAGGATGAACAAATAGACCTTCTCTCCTCATCCCAGTCCCTCTTACAATGTGGCCTCAACTCATGTTGCTACAGCTTGTGCTGATACCCAGCTCAGGAAGCAGTTATCCAGAATTGTGGGTATCTCCTCCAAGAAAGTGAAGCTGATGAATCTACAAATCAGCAGCTCATAGCTCAAGTCAATCCAAAGATATATTTTAGCTGTTTTTCCCAACGTAAATTTCCAGCTTCTTTTGGAAAATGGAGGGTCGAGCAATATGGAGCCTATGTTCCTGCAACTTCAATGGATGAATTGAGTGGCTACTGCCAATCTCCCTGGCCTGCTCATTTACATTTGCTTCCAAAACCAGGCCCCAGTGGACAATTTAGACAGTACCTATCCTAGTGTACTTTTGATACGCTTCCACTGACTATGAGTCAGGTCCTTCATTGAAGATACAAGAATTATTAAATGGTAGCTGGTAATACATTTGGTAGGAAATAGTCCATTTGAGGTTCTTTGGAGCCATTCATGGTTCATCTTTAATAAGTAAATATGAGACTAATCATGGACTACTTTCATATGGTGGTAACTTAGAGATGCATGTTGAGCAGAATCACCAGATACTGAGAGCCAGCCACTCAGGGGATAGCTTAATTCACTAATTATGATTTCTTCATCCACAAGTAGACTCTATAGCAACCAACTGATATTTTGGCATTATTAATACGCTTGTTGAGATAAAATGCTCATGAGTTGAGATAAAATGCGTCTTTGTTTTAAAAATAGAATTATGGATTTTGTGGGCATCAGCTATTCTCACTTTTGAGTGTTCTTTTAGTAGAAAAAGGAATTGAAAATAATGCCTTCAGTTCAGAATTTTGATTTACCATACAAGATTGGCAAGATTCTTATTTAAAAATCTAACCTTCTCCTGCCATGTTCCTTGTTGTATAAAATACTGCTCACTTAAGAGAATCGTCTATCAGGGAAATAAACAGAAATGGATCTTGTTCAATACACTTGGTGTTTTTCCTATCATTGTAGCTTGCCAAGGTTTCTCAGAAGCTGACACCGAAGCAGTGGTGCTGTGGTTGGGAAGGGTATTCCGTTGCTGTAAGCAGTCACAGTGTGACATCCATTGGGAGGCCTGGGCAGGATGTGGTTCGCCACCCAGGCAAAGATGCCCTGAGAAAGCCAGCAGTCTCACAGGTCCTTTAGCAATTCTACCCATGTGGCTCCTCCAGCCAATCCCCTCGGTCTCCTCTAGTATTCCAGGCTCATTTTCTCCAGGCCCCAGCCCACGGCCTCTTTTTTCCCTGACTCTCAAACTCACAGTTCTGACCACACTCATCAGCTCGCTCCAAAAGAGGGACAGACAGGCTCTTGGGAACCACTGCTTCTCTTCATCCCATCTCAGACCATCACCTTCATGCCAGAGAGAGGATTGTGTGCCCAGAGCAGAGTGAACATCTAGCTTATGAAAACCAGTTAAACTGTTTGTGTCATCTTTTCCATGTTTGAAAATTAATACTACAGTACATACTTAGCTTGTAAAGTATGGACAGAAATTCTTAGTCTACTAAAAATCAAATAAAACCACCAATGTATCAGGAAAACATACAAAATATACATATCATCTTATTTTAAATTACATTTTTTAGTGCCAATCACAAATATAATCTGAGTAAAGAAAAGCCAAGTATGACTCTTAACCTCAGAAGCAAAAATCAAAGGAGGAGTATTTAAACAAGAGGGATCAGGTGGCAACTGTACTTCATATGGAATCCCATTCTGACTCTATTTCCAGGGTGTATTTTGAACCACAGAGTGCATTTAATTCACACTGTACCAGTAAGCTATAGTTCTCAAAAGAAAATTTAATATCAAATGATATTTTCAAGAAAATTGTTGCACTAGAAAATGGAATTCCTAAGGAGAAACACCCAAAGCTTTCCTGACTCCTAAGGTCAAATCCCCTGAATCTTTTGGATAACTTCAATTGTTAACAGTGCAATTTTTTTTAATATACCTCATGCATACTCCATAACATAGCCAATGACACAGCTCGATGTAATCAGTTTTCCGGCCTGTATGTCAAGCAGCAGTCACAGCTGCAAGTTCAGTAGCATCAGAGCCCATTTTTATTTGTGTCTTTATTGATATTCAGGCTCATGGGTAGGCTGGGAAATAGGAGAAAGCAGTATGGGTGAGCCTAATTAATGCTTTTATTGGACTGATTTATAATCCAATTATACCTCGAGGTCATATGTGTCTCTTTGTCAAATACAGGTTCAAAGCATCGTTGTAATTAATTTCTGTAATGCAGATTCACCCATTCTGATTTATGCATTGCTGAGCTTTCTGTAGAATACTTTTCTCTCCAGGTGTTTGGAAATTTCATTGTATATAGCATTTCAATTTCAATCAATAATTAAGAATATAAATATATTTCAAAATATTCATTATTATATGTCAATTTTTTCCATAAGTATTTTAGAGAAACTCTCGCTAAAAGAAAACACAAAACCAGGACATTGTTGCCCTAAGAAACATTCTTGTTTGGAAAATTTACAGATAGCATTGAAGCTCAAGAATGAAATAGAAAAATTCCTATTTAAACATCAAATATCTAAATCTATAAATGAAGTTATAAGCTGGCCATTTAGAGAATATTATTATATAATTATATACTATTCAAAGATACTATGATAATAATATTCAAATGCTAAAGGCTATAGTGTTTACACATAAAATCATATTTTATTTCTGTTCATGTTTATTATTATATGAAATAAACACTCCCAAATTAATTTTAAATTCCAAGCAAAGTTTAAAAAACAAAGAATGATCTTAATATCTGAAGTTTTGAGCTACCATTTAGTACAAATATTTAATTAACTTCTTCCCCTATTTTATCAACTCTATATACATAGCTATGTTTCAGTAAAATAAAGAATGTGAGTATTTATTTTGTAAGATAAACCATTTGAGTATACTAAAACTGTTGTTTATAAACTACAGGGCATTCACTCAAAGGGAAAATATTCATATGTATAAATTCTGACATAATGTAATAATAAATTAAATTTCTAGAAATGAAGCTTTTACTGGGAATTGAATCCCAGTGTGTGAGAATGTTAGCTGATCCTTATCATAAAGAAATTTTATCCAAAAAAAAAAGAAATTGTATCAGTTATTCCTCAACAAGGACTCTCAGATGTCTAACAAATAAACATTTTGTTTATTAATTACACAAAGTTTAGCCAAAGCATTGCATAAAGAATAAATATTTTGGTTAGAGTGTTTAAAACTTGGCTTTTAAACTTAATTTTGAATGAACAATCCACATAGGCCAAACTCCCTCTCCTTTGGAAATGCATGGAGTTGCAAATAAAACTTCAGGGACCACAGTTTGCATTTGTTAGTTTAGCCCTATCTGTGCTTTACTTTTGTTTTTGGATTTATTAAGAATATTTTAACTGCTTGATTTTATTTTTATCCCTTTTTCCTCTTTAATATGTGATATTTAAACACACATTACCTGGTGTTTGAAACTGGTTGATGTTATATCTTGAGAAGAGAATTACTTTTGGTAGGAATATATCTTTGAATTATGAAAGTTAATAAATATTATTTGATTTATTATGAATTTTAAGATACCTATATTTAGGCTTACAAACAACTCTTAAGTACAAATGAATCCTCTGATTAGAATTCTTGATCACAGTAACAATACTAATTGCACAATTAGGTGACTACTTAATAAAGAGATATAAAGCAAAATGTTAGAGACTTGAGGTCGAAACAGACTTCATGTCCACGTATATTCTGTCACAGTTTTACAGAAAGCACTGTGTATTTACGTCATCATTCTTTACAGTGGCCACATAGCAGAAGTGGTTAAGTGAAAAAAAAAATTAAGCATGAAGGGTGGGGATTGTGCAAAACTTTAACTGCATCAAAATTATGAGAAAATGAAGAAAGTTCCTACTTTCAAATATCTATTTTCTATGAGTAAAACTTAAACTCATTATTTTCCCTCTCAGAAAGAGACCTAAACTGTGCTTGTCTTTTTCTTTAACAGATAATTCTGAAGTAATCAGCAGAAACGGAATGGAATGCCAAGAATCTGCATTGAGAATAACTAAACATTGTTACTGTACATACTATCCTGTTTCCTCCTCAATAGAATTGCCACAAACTGCATGCTAAATAAAGATTTAGTTCTTCTGGACAGACCACAATTCTAAGAAGCTAGTGCTGCTATATCATATATGAGTATTAAATATGGTATGCTTAGTATATTCCAACCTAAGATAGTTAACTACCTGAGACCAGCTGTGATGTTTAAAGACATAAAGGATAAAGTTTACTTTTAAAGGGGTTTCTAAACATAGTTTCTGTCCTAGGAATATTGTCTTATCTCCATAACTATAGCTGATGCAGAAAAGTCCAGACAATGTACTCATTTCGACTCAAATACTTCAAATTTAGCAATAAATAATTAGCATTAGTTAAACCTATTCCAAGGGCAGGTTTGATTCTAACTCCAATCACTGTCATTTCATTTACTCACTGGATCTAAGGGTATGTTTCACTTCTCAACGCAATGAACGCTGCAGCAAAGATGAGAAGTGAAGTAAAACAGACAGAGATACCTGTCCTGCAGGTCTAAAATCTGAACGAAAGTCCAAGCACAAGTATGGGGGACACATCAAAGTGTGGTATTTGGTCTGCCTGGAGATGCCGCGTTGAATCGTGTGATTCTAGAATAACATTAAATAGATTGAAAAAGAAACTTTGCACGGTATGAGATTCATACCCCACACAACAAAGTCTTGAAGGTATTATTTTACAAGTATATTTTTAAAGTTGTTTTATAAGAGAGACTTTGTAGAAGTGCCTAGATTTTGCCAGACTTCATCCAGCTTGATAAGAATGAGGGGCCCATGCCAACAGTCTAATCTAAGGGATTAGTCTTAAAACTCACCATCCAGTTGCCTGTTACAGAGTAACTCTTCTAATCTAAAAACCTAGTCAAACAAGGAAGCTGTAGGTGAGGAGATCTGTATAATATTCTAATTTAAGTAAGTTTGAGTTTAGTCACTGCAAATTCGACTGTGACTTTAATCTAAATTACTATGTAAACAAAAAAGTAGATAGTTTCACTTTTTAAAAAAATCCATTACGGTTTTGCATTTCAAAAGTTGGATTAAAGGGTTGTAACTAACTACAGCATGGAAAAAATAGTTCTTTTAATTCTTTCACCTTAAAGCATATTTTATGTCTCAAAAGTATAAAAAACTTTAATACAAGTACATACATATTATATATACACATACATATATATACTATATATGGATGAAACATATTTTAATGTTGTTTACTTTTTTAAATACTTGGTTGATCTTCAAGGTAATAGCGATACAATTAAATTTTGTTCAGAAAGTTTGTTTTAAAGTTTATTTTAAGCACTATCGTACCAAATATTTCATATTTCACATTTTATATGTTGCACATAGCCTATACAGTACCTACATAGTTTTTAAATTATTGTTTAAGAAACAAAACAGCTGTTATAAATGGATATTATGTGTAAATGTTTAAAACATCCATTTTCTTTGTGAACATCTTAGTGATTGAAGTATTTTGACTTTTGAGATTGAATATAAAATATTTTAAATTTTGGCATTATCGCCTGTTATGAAAACTAGATGCACCAACCATATCATTTTTTGTTTGAGCAAAAAGAAATCTGCATTTAATTCATGTTGGTCAAAGTCTAATTACTATTTATCTTATATTGTAGATCTGAAAACCCTATCAAAAGAGAATCACATTTTAAGTGTAATCTTACATAGTGCTTGTATCATTGTATTTGTTTTAATTTGTGGAAAGGTTTGTATCTAACTTGTATTACTTTGGTAGTTTCATCTTTATGTATTATTGATATTTGTAATTTTTCTCAACTATAACAATGTAGTTATGCTACAACTTGCCTAAAACACTCAAACTTGTTTCTTTTTTCTTTGTTGATTCATTTAAACTCATTGAAAACATAGTATACATTACCAAAAGGTAAATTATGGGAATTACTGATATATTTTTGTAGATTAATTGTTATAACATTGTCTCTTTTTTTCTTTCATGATTCTGATTTTAAAAATTATTAGCACACAACTATTTTCAGCCCTTTAATAATGAAGCATCAAAAACATCACCTGTATCCCCAAGCAAATATAGAAGACTGTATTTTTTACTATGATATTCATTTTCCAGAATTGTGATTATAATATGCAAAGAATCATAAATATGCCATTTACAATAAGGAGGAGGCAAGGCAAATGCATAGATGTACAAATATATGTACAACAGATTTTGCTTTTTATTTATTTATAATGTAATTTTATATAATAATTCTGGGATTTGAGAGGATCTAAAACTATTTTTCTGTATAAATATTATTTGCCAAAAGTTTGTTTATATTCAGAAGTCTGACTATGATGAATAAATCTTAAATGCTTTGTTTAATTACAAAACAAAATCACCAATATCCAAGACATGAAGATATCAATTCAACAAATACTGTAGTTAAGAGACTAACTCTCCACTTGTATGGGAACTACATTTCACTCTTGGTTTTCAGGATATAACAGCACTTCACAGAAATATTCTTTCAGCCATATACCACTGGTAACATTTCTACTAAATCTTTCCGTAACACTTAAAGAATTCCCTCATTCATTATCTTACAGTGTAAACAGGAGTCTAATTTGTATCAATTCTATGTTTTGGTTGTAATATTCAGTTCACTCACCCAATGTACAACCAATGAAATAAAAGAAGCATTTAAAAGGATTGTATAGTCTTTCTACTTTTTATATTAGACAGACTGATAATTAGCCAAACAAATAAGTTTTTGCACTCACATAGATATTGTTTGTTAGCTTCAAAGAAGAGCAGCTCTGGTCCTCAAATGGGGAATGAGTCGTTTTTGATTTGGGATTTAGCTTTTTCACAGCAAGAAAAATAATTTAACTGGTGATTTAGATGTATTTTTTATTATTCTTTAAAATTAGCAATAACAGTGATTCTGCCTGATAATGAAGAGAATGAGCATCAGTAACCAAATGAGGGGGAAAAATATCAGTTTCATTAACAGACAAGAAAGTACCCATTAGCCTGTAAGACAGGTTTCTGGTAAGCTCTTGAGTAGACAAAATGTCCTGGACCTGAGACTCAAAAAAGAAACAGAAAGGTGAGTTCTGCTCTGTGCATAGATGCTGGCCAGGCAGACTAAGGGCAAAACAGCTTCAACAGAGAAGGTGATGATTGTCCATTTCTAACCATCCTCTAAGTGGTACAGACAAGGAGTCATAGATTTTCCTTTGAGAGTCAGAGTATTTCTCAAGGAAGGTGCTACTGGCCTTCTGGATGGTGTCTTAATCCATCTTGTGTTGCTGTGACAGAGGCTGCATGACTTATAATGAATAAAGGTATATTTTGGCTCACAGTTCCAGAGGTTGGAAGTCCAAGACCATGGCACTGGTACTGACTTACTTCGCTTCTGGTGAAAGCTTCACAGTGTTTCAGCTCATGGCAAAGTAGTAGATGGGCAAATATGCATATGCACAAGAGGCCAAACATGAGGGGCAGCTTCACACTGTAAGAGCCTTTTAAAGGTCTACTGCTATTACATTGGCAAACTAAATTTCAGTATGAGTCCTGGAGGGAACACATCATAATCAAACCATAGCAGGGATTGTCAGAAAGTACCCCCTCTATGGACTGAGCCAGGAACATAATAGAGTACAAGTTTTCTCTATGGTTAATTTAAAGCTTCAGGCGTCCTGAGTGGTTGTGATATCCCTTATAAGAGTAGAAAACACAAACACTTATCAGGGCATATACATATACATATATATGTACATATATATGTATATGTATATATGTGTGTGTGTATACACACACGCACACACACAGATGCCTGTGTCTTTTCTTTATTAGCATATGTTTGCAGAAAATTATGTTTACATTCCTTGTGTGGACTTGGTACATACACATATCACATCTTAGTTCCTTTTACTTCCTCTTCTCCTTCCTTCCCTCGCATCGTCCTCCATCTCTTGGTCCCTTCCTCATTTGCAAAAGATCTAGCTCTCTGCTATTATCTCTTTTATTTTGCTCCTTACACATTTTTATACTTTGAGCTTCTATTATGAGAGAAACCATGCAATATTTAAGCTTGTGGATCTCATTTATTTCACTTCACATTATGATCTCAAGGTCCAAACATTTTCCTACAAATGACTCAAGTTTATATTTCTCTGTGGAGAGGGAGTACTCTCCTATGTGTATCTTCAAGCTCCATCATCAAGATTTCCAAGGGAGGGCTGGGGATTTAGCTCAGCAGTTCATTGGCCTGCGGATTTAGCTCAGCGGTTCACTGGCCTGCCTTGCAAGCACAAGGACCCGAGTTCAATCCCCGGTACCAAGAAAAAAAAAAAAAAGATTTCCAAGGGGAAAAATACTTTAACACTTTTGTGAATGTATTTTAAAAACTGGCTACATATTTGGATGAGCAACTTTTTCTTCACTAGAAGGCAGGGAAAAAACCTGCTATCTCATCAGTCACTCCTTACAAAATAAAAACCTCAAAACAAAACAAAGAATTCTGTTAATAGAAAGTTCAAGGTGACAAGTCTAGACAGCAAGTTGTTATTTTAAGTGAAAATCTAAGCCAAACTATACTTTAAAATTTTCACACCTGGTTTTATGAAGTATAATTTCCATCAGTAGACTTTTTGTGGTACCACATTAAAATTCAAAATGCAACTTAAAAGGATTTTAAAAATCTACATTATCTCGAGCATATAAATGTTTAGTTATAAAATATCAATTATCCTATAATTATCTGCCAAGAGAAAAGTATTAGTAATCCAAGTTTGATGGCAAGAATTTAGAAGCAACCAAAGAATCAAAATACAATTCAGCGTTGTTTCAATTATCAGAGGAAGATACTGGCTCCCTAAATGAATTTTTCCCCTTAAAATATCCTAGTTTCTCTAAGACACTAAATAATCAGTGTATTGGACTGGCCCATCCCCAGAGGGATGACTGAGTCACTGTGAATCAGTATGATTTATGCAGAATGAAACAAAGTAACGACTCCCTCTGCTCCCTTGAGAGGGTGGGATTGGCAGAAATGGAGATGGGAGAGACAGAATGTTCACCTACCCAGGTGTCAGGCTCCATGCTATATATTTCATATAGTGTCAAACAAGCCCATCTTGTGTTGAGAGAATTACTTATAATTGCTAGTTAATTCCAATTGCTGCGGAGATTCTTACTCAAGGTACCACAAACACATTCTGCTATAAGAAGTAGCTTGACTCTAGATCAACACTGCCTTTTACCATCTGCCACCCAAGGTGATCAGATCTTTGGCTCTGCCCAAAGCCTTTGTCTGGTGCATTCCAATTGTATGGCCAAATGTGTATGATCTGACTTTCTTCCTATGTTTCAGCTATTTTTCTTCTTCCCTCTCTCTCCCTTCCTCCCTCCCTCCCTCCCTCCCATTCTCTCTCTCTCTTTCATGTGTGTGCTGGGGATGAAACACAGGGCCTCTTGTACTC